GATAAATAGGTACCACTTCGGTGGGAAGTTCACAGCGTTCCGTGCGCCTTGGTGTTTAGTCATGCCGGCCACATGACCACGGAAACGTCTTCGGACAGCGCTGGCTCTTCGGCTTGGAAACGGAGATGAGCACCGCAACCCTAGAGTCGGATTCGACTGGCTTTCGAGCAAGGGAACCTTTACCTTTACCTATCTGTACTTATTTATTTGCATTAATTATGTCTGTGCTATTGAAATCAGCCTATCACGTGGCTCTGAAATTTTTATTGCCTATAGACGTGCTGACAACTCTGCCTGTGCGTCAATCTTGGCTGATCTGTGATTGCAACAAATAAAGTTGAACTGAGAAAGAGAGAGCCCGTGACTTTGAAAGGCCCATGAACTGCTTTGCAACTGCCAGCAAGGTGTGCCGATGAAAAGGTCCTCTCATTCCAGACCAGGCATACACACACACACACCCCGGCCACTCTCCCAAAGGGAAACCACCCCCCACAGCCACAAGCAGGCTTCCCCCGCCCCTCCTCACCAGCGCCGGCACCGGCAAGGGGACGTGCTCACTGGCTTTGTAGCGCCTGGCTTTGCGGATAGCAAACTTCTCAGTGGGGGGGGACTTCCCGGCGATCTTCTGCTTGAAGGAGGAGACCTGCCTGCAAGGGAGAAAGAGTGGGGGGGGGGGGGGGGGGAGTCACCGCAGAGACGCCTCTTCCCAGAGCCCCCAGGTGGGCGTTGCTCCTCCACTCAGGAATGGGGGGGGGAAAGAGAGACGGCGCTTCCCAGGGGCACTTTGCACAGGACGCCAGATAGCTGGCAACGCTCACCCCCAGAATCCAACCACTGGCAGCCCCAGACTCCAATCCCGAGCTTGGGTTGCCAGCTCCAGCTTGTGGAATTCCTGGAGATTTGGGGGGGTGGCGCCTGGGGAGGGCAGGGAAACGCAGCAAGGTATAAATGCCACAGAGTCCACCCTCCAAAGCAGCCATTTTCTCCAGGGGAGCTGATCTCTGTTGCCTGGAGAGCCGTTGCAATTCCGGGAGCTGTCCAGGCCCCACTTGGAGGCTGACAAGCCTACCTGAGATCCTCCCAACAAACGCCAGCCACACTTGTTCTGGGGCCAATGTCTAGGGTTGCCAGGTCC